TGCCTGTGAGGAAAACGTTTGAAATCGGTTTATTTTTATATTGTTGGATTTACTGAATTTAAATATGAAGCTTAAAAATTGTCTACATTGCAATGTGGGGAATTTTGTGAAAACGTCTTTTTACATGAAAGTCTCGTTTTGTAGCTAATATTTTCTAATGAAGAAATAACTGTAAACAAAAAGGAGTCTCTTTTTATTAATATTTTTGCACGACGCATAATAAACAAGGATATGCATGCAGAGAAAACAAAAGAAATACAAAAGAACATGCTAGAGATGTGTCCATCAATCATTGATTGCTCTATTTTCTTTGGTTTTTCCTGTGTTTCACTCAATAAGACGGTGGCAAGATAAAAGCATTTAGTTCGCGAGCGAAGTATTGGATTTGCTGTAAAGCTAGCATAAAAGCAAATTGTGGAATTTCGATAAAAATGAGCAGGCGTCTTTCTTCCTTTTTTTCTTTATCTCTTTCTTTTTCTCTCAAACATTAATGAAAACATTAATGATCATTGTTTTTGTTCACATTTACCATTTGTTTATTAAAAAATATTGGCCGTAAAACAAGGTTTTTGTACACAAAAAACTGCGTTTTTACAAAGTTCCTCGAAATGTGAACTATTTTAAGCTTCATTTTCGAGTTAAGTGGATCAAATAATATAAAGATTTTAAATATTTCCCTCATAGGCAAACGGTGCCACCGTTTTTTTTTACAAGTGTAAAGACACTCTTACGATTTTCATTGCAAATTGTGTAGTTTAAATAACATTGGATTTATTATTGTCAATATTAGATTTTTTACATGTTTGTAGCCTAAAATTATTTTATTTATATTTTTCTCTTTTTTATTTTTGTCGATTTTACTAGATGTTTATTTTTGCTTATTTCACAAAAATGTTAAATTAATATAATGTTAAATATTTCAAAATTTCAAACAGTATTATAAAAGAAAACTGTTATATTATTGCTATAATAAAATAACACTTTCGTTTGTTTTTATATTTTCAAAGCTTTATTTTTAGCTTTTGTTTAAAAAATATATAATGAAAAAAACAAGTATGACGGTATTAGCAAATTTCTTCTACAATATGAAAAAATATTTCGAAAAGTTGATTTAAAAGAAATACACAAGTCCCCTAATTTTTTAGAAAAAATATATGTGATTTTAATAAGTCACTTAAATTACTCATTCGACAGGCGAAAGCTGATGGAATTAGACAGTCATCTTCTGGGCCTGAATATTGCTGCTGAACAACAGCATTCCATAATCTCCCACTGGGAATCAAGGAATAACAGAGTATACGGAAAATCGCGTGATTCCAGTACACATCGTCCTGGTACAGATTACCAAGTGGACGAAATAGACGACGTGGGTAAGTAAATATTGGACAGTTATTATAATTAAAATCATTATTAGTCATCATTGGACAAAAGATTTGTTATGAATTAGAAGATAAATACCAAAGATTTTATTTTATACTAGCTGGTTCATATTTATACATCTTTGATAAATATATAGATATTTTATATGTTTAATACTCTATTTAATAGAACTTTATATTTTATTATAATGGAAAAACAAAGAAAAATATAGAATTTGATTATTTTTCAAGTTTTTTGGAGAAATGTCTTCTTTATAATTCAATCAATAGTCCTACTACTCTTGTCAGAGCGTAGTGACCTCTTCTCGTATTTCTGCGATGTGCGCTATTTACACTTTTACGCAGATATACGGGACCTACATTTTAACGCC